CCACCCGATGGCCTTTGAACATATAACAAATCGTTCTGTCTATGTCTGCTTCCCCATCCCACGATGGGCTCACAACTTGGCCACCAAGGGTACTTGCCTTAGAATACACACGCCGGATCTGCAACAGTGGTTCACACACAACCTGCCTTTGAACAAGGCTACCGGGTTCTTCTAGACTCTAGACACTTCATATAGCCTCAATCCTCCCGTCCTGGTACGCCAAATTCTTCTCCCGACTGTGTTGAATGGTCCCCACGGAAGCGACCCACCCTCGCAGATGAATGCAGCTTTCCTGCACAACGTTGCAAGCCTGAGTCTCCTTCAACTTTCGCCAACCATGGAAACTCCTGTGCACTGACTAGCTTCCGTACCTAGTGTCATTGACTAATGGTTTCCTGCGCCCGTTTACGGCAACCCGAACTTCCCAGCTGGCTGGCCTTCCAGGTGTACAGCACTTGGAAATCATCACAGACCAGCTCTGGCGATGGATCGATGGCAATGGTCTTCTCCTCCTTCAATGTCAGCACCGTCTCATCAGTACCCTCCAGCTTCAACACCAATGGATTTGCAGCCACCTCTCGCAAGACCGCTTGAGAGATATGCACTTCAGGAAAGCCTTCTTCTGCACCATTTACAGCTGCTTCCAGTTCCCCGTGGCCGCGCGTGCTCGCACCCCACACTGTTCCGCACAGCACGCCGGCGGCGTCTGCCGCTGTCACCTCACGCCCCACGGGCTCGTAGTGAAACACCTTTTAGCCACAATGAAACCCACTACCACATGTGCTCTGCCACCTCCCCGAGTCACCGACAGCCCCTCTCCGCGGAAGGTACGTGACAAGACATTCCACATCATTGCCTTTCTCCCCCTTATGACCCACTGCAGGCCTGAAATAGTGACCAAACAGATGTCCCCAAAAAGAAAACCCCTTCCGGTGGTGCTAGGCGCAAGGCTACTACCGCAATTACCTCGCAACGTGCTCAGGCCCCGACAACCGAAGCACGAAACACTTGCACATATCTGTTCGACTCCCTTACCGACCCACAAAAGCATATGGTACCGATGCCAGGTCTTCTGGACTCCGTTGCTCCCGCCAAGACACATCGTACACCCGCTTGCTGGCTGCAGTGCGCAACACACTCACGTTGACGACCACCACTTCGAGAGCGATGTTGGCATACTTGCTCTTCTCCAACTTCAGCAGGCTTGCAATGTCCTGTTAACGCCAACTGCCACTACCACAACCAGCACTAAATTGCCAGACTGACCCCCGACTGCCGCTCCCACAACCAACTCCACTTTTGGATATCTGTCTCGAAGTCCAAGACGTGCACAACTCCATGATGTCGATGTCTTGATACTTCTGGCTCTCTCTCTGGATATCCCGAGAGCTTGATATTCATGCAAGTTTTCGATATATCTCGATGTATCTTGATATCTCTACAAGTTTTTGAATATACGTGGATATCTCCACATATCTTCTGGCATCATAGCTTTTGAGCGCCGATGAGATATCTACACGCAACTTCAGACCATGGAGAAAGTGTTCGGAGCCGGCGGCGCCCGAACCACTTTATTTGAAGAATTGGAAACTCCTGTTCGGGCGCCATCGGCGGACATGCGCCAAAGCTCGCAACCCGAAGGACGAAGATCCCGGATTTGCGATTCGAAAGCACACCACCACCACCACCCCCCCAGCACATTATCACAATAAGTTTCCATTGAAGATTAAGGACTCACACATCCTTGTGGGAAATTATTATCTTGCTCCGAAACTGTTGTTGTGTTAGAAAACGCGCGAAGGTGCCAACGAATCATTTGGAATAGCTCAGGTGGTGAATCCGTTCCTCGTCTACAGAGGTCGCCCTTACACATTGCTGGATGCAATGCGTGGGAGTGAGGCTGACACGTTTCTGGGTGAGAACGATAACGCATTTGCATGGGCTTGGTCCAATTCTTTATGTTCTATAGATTCAAAACAGAGCGCAGGGGAATAACCAATGCACATATGCGGTTAAAGAAATGGAAGAGAATTTGTTACAAAAACTCTTTGTGGATACCAGTCAGTCGGTAGATTGGTTTCTATTTGTTCTTGTTGTTGTTGTCCTAGATGAAGTCGTTCTTTTTTGTTCTCGTTGTTGGTTGTTTTCGTGGTTGTGTTCGTCGTTGTTGTTGATGATGTGCTTGCTGGTTTTTGTTGTCGTCGCTTGTTTTTGCTTGCTGGGGTGACGAAGCCGGCAACTCAGTAGGTCTTTGGTTATTTACCAGGCTACCGCCTGCAGCCGCCGACCCCCAAGGGATAGAACCTTAGCGCTAGCCTTGCTCTATGTTAGCCTTAGCCTTAAGCCTTAGCCTTAGCCTTAAGAGTGCAGACCCGACCCAGCACCACCAAAGCAGGTACCCAAAAAGTCGACTTTTTGGGTACCTCCCAGATTTACCATCGGACGTCAGCTCTTGCATGAACCCCGATCATTGCCCAAGAATTTAGACCCAACCCTTCACCACCAAAGCAGGTACCCAAAAAGTCGACTTTTTGGGTACCTCCCAGGTTTACCAATTTAGACCCAACCCAGCACCACCAAAGCAGGTACCCAAAAAGACAAAGCCTAGAGCATTCCTAGGAAAATGCCAGAAAAGCCTTTGAAAATCTCATAAACCAACAGAAAACGTGACAAAATCTACGAAAAAGCAAGGGCATTGGCCGGGACCATGCCGCGACCAGCCCGGGATTCGAGCCCAGGACCATTTTGGACCGTGCTTATTTTCCCGCGCGGGTCGAGAGGGTGCCCCAAGATGTAAATCAATTGGGATGGCAGATTCTTGGACAATCCAGGTCGCTTTCCCGGCAGGATTTCGTCACTCCAACAAGGGTCCGGAGGGGTAGGGGAGGTAAGGTCTAGGTCCAGGTCTAAGGCTAAGGACTAGGTCTAAGGTCTAAGGCTAAGGCTAAGGCTAAGGCTTAAGGCTAAGGCTGACATCGACAGTCACGCCTCACCCCACAGTGTGGGGTCGGCGGATTTTTCCCTCTAGAAGATGCTGTACTTGAATTTTCTGCTCTTGCTTTTCACCGTCAGGTGCATGGACCGCTGAAGACGGATGACCCCCTGACGAAGCAGGCCAAACGCTTGCAGCGTTGCAACGTAGGGCCCCAGCTTTTGCTGGTGGTTTCAATCCTGGTTCTCTTTCTGAGATCGCTGGATTGGGGCGCCTTGGCCTCAAGCACCGTACGAACGGGCGATGGGATTGGGAGTTGGGGTGAAAATTTATCGGTTTTGGCGTAAAGAAACAAAAGGTCACAGCACCTAAGGTTGAAGAGTGTTTCTTGCTCTCAGGCTTGATTCCATGTGTGTTTTCAAATCTTTGCTATTACCAGTGAAACCAAAAGACTGGACGAAGACAGTATGGAGAAGTCGCCATATCGAAAACATTCCTGCACCTTGGTGCTTCCGACGTAGACTTCAAGGTCTCATTAACATAGGCACTGGCAAGATATATTGCGAAGCGGTCCAAGGAAAGTGGTTTGTGGAGCAACTCCTCGCCTTCAAGGGCAAGAAGATACGCGACAAAGATGTCTTCAAAGTAGTGGGGATGTGGCAAAGGGCCCAGCCAGAAAGAAAACAGTTTGTACCTGAGAAGATCAGGACGATATCTTTTTTTGACAGGTTCCTTTTCAATCAAGGGGGTTCCTAAAAAGGAAATCATCTACAAGCCCATGCTTTAGAGACTCTTAAGTCCCAAGAACTCCAAAACCCATTGTCTAAAACCCCCATTCGTAAGTTCTTCTGATCACTTTGCAAGGTCTTCTTGTGGGATTAGCCATAGGCGTCCACACCATGGCAGCCAGACCTTCTCCCTCCATGAAACGAAGCTCCAAGCCTCAACGTCTTTGGTGAGTATAGCCAACGCGGGGACTCGAAATGGGTTTCTTGTTCATCTTACCTTTTTAGCAAGTGCATCTATATATACACATCTAAGATGTAGACGTCCCATCGAAACCCACAGTCCAAGCGCAGGAACGAGCAGCGAATAGTTCCCAACACCGACATTGCTGGGTACTCATGCGGATCTGTCTGTGGCATGATTGGGTGCTGGCTGTACCAATTCAATATACCCGATGGCCTCGTGAATGTGCTTTGGCATCTATAGAGTATGTCTTCTTCTTCTGTGGGGATTTCCACCACCTGTTTTCTTCAGTTGTCGCTACGACCACTTCATCCAGAATCCAGTTGTGCCCAGGAAGATCTTCGCAAGCAAAAAAGGCAACGCCGCCGTTAGCGGCTGTGGGTATTTTGCACACGCTGAATTTTGCACACGCGGGTCAACGGAAGAGTTCAGGAATGATAGGAATGCTTCCAAAAGGTTCTGACAGCGGATCCGGGCATTGTGCCGCCACTGCCACGCGAAAACCCAGTTGTGCATATCTGGATTCAGTCAGTAGACAACTCTTGACATCTTTTGTGGGAAGTTCTTTTGGTATGAATTCTTTGTCGCCACAATGGCAGACCAACGGACGAGGTGCGACGCGAACGAAGCGAGAACTGCGAACGAAGCACGACGACAATGGAGAAACCATCCGAACCTCACTGGAACCCCGCAAACCACCCCTAAAAGCAACCTGGTGACCCGAACCCCCCCTAAAAACATGAAAAAAAACAAGCCGCGAAAACACCGGTGGAGGCACCCTGAAGTGAAGCACTGTGACGCCCGAAAACCCACCCCAAAGGAACCCAAAACCCATTTGAACCTAAAAATTGACCCAAAAAATAGCAAAATCCCCACAGCCGCTAACGGCGGCGTTGCCAAAAAGAAGTACCGCTCGCAGAATGGAAAACATTTGAATGAAAACCGCCTAGAGTTTTGAATCCAAATATCTTCAGCTTCCAACCTGTCTGAGAGAAGAAACCAGTCCAAAAAGTCAACTGTGTTATACAACTACTCCCCCACAGAAGGCCGCAATCACTGCCGCTTTCGGACCTTGCCAGCACTGAATGCTCCATGCTACAGGGTGAACGAGGAGTATTCATTCTTGGAAACCGTCAGCCAGGTGTTTTCCTCCGAGGAGAAAGATCCAATGCCAAACCATCCACACGCCTCAGCTCGGTCGTGCACGTTCCGGCGCTGCGAATGTTCACCGGTCCCACGGCGTTGGAACGAAAGCTATGACTCGAAACTTGGTCACAGCGGGAGGGTCGCGGTCAACAGAGGTGATGGCGGAGAATCGGTTGTTTCACCTGTTTCACCAAACGTCCGGAGACATCATGAGAGGGTAACTGGATGGTTAAGGGTCTATGGCTGGAAGAATTATGACTCAGAATGACTGCTCTGAGCTACTGCAGTATCAGTCAAAACCCTCTACATATATATATATATACCCCAGTTTCCCCCTCTACCTGCAGAATGCAGATGTAGTCTGCAGGCGCATGTTAAACCCTCATCAATTTGGAAACCCACATCCATCTATATAATGGGCAGTTACCTGGCAGTTACCTTTCCCTGTGCATTGCATGCGAATGCAAATCATTGATTCTGTCTGGCCGGCCCAACCATGGGGGTGGGTTGACTTCGTTGAAAGGCCTGACAAACTGGGTGGTTCTGAGTCATTTGATCTGGGGCATAGAGAAGACACCTCCAGAACCCGGAGAGAAAAGCAGCTGAATCAAAGACAGGCAAGCACCAACACCTTCATACCCTTTCCACCTCATGTTCCATCGGTCTCCAAAGGCCAAGCTGGGAATACCGCCATCACCCAAACCCCCTACCGAGAAGCAATGACGTGCTCCTGCAGCATCATGCCTATGATCAAAAGCAGTAAGCCTTGGAGAGGACCATCTCCCCGTATTCGAACCACGGCTAATGAGTGAACGAGGGGTTAGCTTCTCATTGAAAAAGCCATTGGCAAAAGGGCACCATCAGACACCATCAGTGGTCATCCTCCATGTTCCGAGATCATCTGGTATCCCAGCAAGCCAGAGTAAACTCACCCTGCTTTCATATGATGACTGTCCTACAAGGCAAGGTCAACAAGCAAACTATGGCATGACTATGGAGGGATGGTCATGCAAATGCACGTCTAAACTTAAGTACAGGGTCATGACAATGATACCGGCTGCTTAGTCTTACCAAGAACCACGAGGCATCAAACCTGCGGATGTTTCTCGTTTGACTCGCAACAAAAAAGGTCTTGTATCATACTGGATTTGTTCAAACAACTTTGCTTTGGGACGGCCAAGCCATGCAAAGCCTCCAATGGCGTTTTCGCAGCTGGGCCTATATAACCCAATCCTGTCAGGACGTGAAATTGGTCGTACATCCTTTTTACTCGAAGAAATTCGAAGCCATGGCCCCAAACAAGGACCCATCCCTTTGATAGACCCGATTGACGCTTCAAAGCCCTCGAGTCCTGATTCCGGTGGTTCGATTCCTGAGATTGGAGGTGTACTTCGCCCCATCTCTGAGCAACCAAATAGCAATGGCCCTGGCCTCCTACCCAATAGCAAGAGGAACCTAATAGCGATGGCCTCCAACCTACTAGCGATGGCCTCCAACCTACTAGCGGTGAAAAATCACTAAGATGCTGGTCAGAGTCCATGCAAAAATGAAATGAACTGACTGTTGGAGCTTCAAGGTGGATTGAAAAATCCCCCAGTCCCGCCCGCTCGAATCTGGGAAGCTGAATTGGGTGTAGGCCACCTGCCAGGTGGAAAAGTCCGTGTTCCCGGTCGAAAGCATGTGGATGTGGTTAAAAGCGAACAAATAGGTGTTAACATAGATGAACAATAATTAGATGAGTTCTCCAATGGATTAGTTTCCCACTAAGTGAACTCATCTTGATTTGATCAATCTATTCGCAAGCTATGTCAGCTATGTCACCATGGACAACCGCAGGCATGAACGGTTCCAACAAGTGAAGGACTCAGCCCGAACAAAATTGCCCCCAATCTTAGGGCGCAGTTGCTAACATCAAAGGCTTCGCACTAGCAGAGGTCATGTCAACACACCGGATGAACTAAGTCCTTCCAAGAATTTGTTACCAAGAAGTTCACTTGAAATTCAGGTCGACGCAGGTGTCCTAGCCCTCTGTCTGGCGTGCGGCCCGCGCCTCAGACTCGAACTTGTCCCGCAAGAAGGAGGCGAAGCGGGTCAACTTGCCCAGCCGCACGACCCGCAGCAGCCGCAAGAGCCGTAGAACTCGTGTGCTGGCACGATCGGTACTGGCCTGGGACACAGAACACCCAACCAGAAGACCTGTTACACAACGGTAGGCAATGCGTCTTTTGAATGTTCGACTTGAACAAAGCCAGTGTCCAAAAGAATACAAATACATGTCGTTCAGAGTGAACAGACTGCAAGTGAATGCCAGTGTTTCTTGAAGTTGAGGAATCACATCCGGGAACCTGGATTCTCTGCATCTTCATCACCCACAATGCTCAGCTGAGCTCCAATCGAGACCACCAATGAGACCTTCCAAAAACCAAACCATAGTCTTGATGATGGTAATGGTTATGCACTTGAGAATGGTTGCATGCAACAACAGGTTTTTGATGCTACGAATCCGGTGTGTTTCTGGTGTGGTGGTCACACTTCATAGAGATTGACCAAGGTACAGTAGAAGTATAATGCACAAATGAAAAGAAACGATCCACCCAAAAAAACAAAACATGTTCCAGAAGGATTCCTTGTTCTATGTATGAGACTCCATCATTCCATGATACTCCATGTCTATTTGGACCAGTCGCTTCTTCACCTCCACTAAACTCCAGAACGATGTCGATGACAGTGACTATGAAGTCGGGCAAGAACCAAGTCTTCAAGTAGTGGCAAACGATCTCCTGACTCGGAAGGTTTCTCAGTGCAGAACCCTGGATTCGACCCGAGGAAGGCAGTTTCCTTCATTTGGGCGAGACATCCTTTCTGCAAAAACAAAAGACCTGATGTGATCCATCTTCCATCATGCAAATCGATGCATGCTCCACGATCCTGCTTACTTGACCGTACGACATTGTCCACCCAATCATCCACCCAATCGTCTGGGATGTCTTGGCCCCAAGACGCGAGAATACGGAATACGTGGCAGACGGGATCGCGAGGATTCCGCTCCCCGTCACATGATTTTAAATAACACTCAACCCAACTAGTTCTAGTGACCCCACCCAACGTCTGCACCGGGCGCACCCTTTTTCCTGGTCAGGGATAGCTGCACAAGCATGGGCTGCCACTGGTCCAACCAGTGGCAGACCCATGCAGTCACACCCTACATTGCACTTGGGCAATGAATATGGGGTGGGAGGGTGAGGATTTCAATCAATGCAGCTGCCACTTCACAACCACAAGCAAGGCTCAGCTGCATGAGAACTAGAACCAGAAGGGTGAGTCTTAGGGCTAGCATCCAAAAGTATGCGCGCAACCAACACTCAACCCAATTAGTTCTAGTGACCCCACCCAACGTCTGCACCGGGCGCGCCCTTTTTCCTGGTCAGGGACGTTTCGTAAATATATGTTCATATGCACTCTAAATGTTCAAACATATGCTCTCGAAATGTTCAAAAAGATTCTTAGGAAAACAAACTTGCCCCATGGCTCAGATCATCGGTGAGCATTGAATCGGAACAGCATAGGATTTGAACTATCCTGAAACCATAAGAGGCTCACGAAGACGCTAGCCATTTGGCGCACGCAGAGGCAACTGCTTGATTGTCACACAATTGGCGCAACTGTAAAGTCCAGGAAGACATACCTTGAGAGCCTTCACGCGCCCTGAGCTCCACAAGGACCAGCTGCGCAAGAGCTTCTAAAGACGCAATCACTTTTTGCAGGGGGCCTGAGTTCTTCCAAAACCAAGCAGGCAAAGCAGACTTATCCACCGGAATAGAAAACCAAAGAGCATTTGAAGGGCGCTCCTTAGCCCCAGCAGGAACCCACAAGCCACCAAGACCGCCCAATTCCGAATGGGCGAAAGCATCTGCTGCCCCTGACGACGTAGCATCTTTCATAGAAGTCCGCAGGCAAATCGGCTGAGTCTCGAGCACCGACACCAAAAACTTCGCTGTCTGAGCAACTTCCGCAGAAACTGAAGCCACCCCTAGTGTCATAATTGAAAAACACGCAACTCTCAAATCCGAACTCAAATTCGCAACCACTTCGCCAAATTGATCCAGTAGCAAAGGTCTGGTAACCACCATCGGTTTTTGTAAAAAGTGATAGAAAACGCTCAACCAAGGGCGGCAGCCAGACCATTCCAGAGGTATACCAAATCAGAAGACCAATCAAACTTCTACTGCCGCTTTCTTCACTTTGCGGCCACGCTCGCATAAACCACGAAGCACGCCCAAAAGCTTTTCTGCTTTGTCTGGAGGCAAGAGAGCCGTGAAAGATGAAAAACAAAACTTCCATCCAATCCAGACGATCTCGTGGCCCACATCAAATTTTCTCCAACTCAAAGGAACCCCCAATGCACAAAGGAAATCACCACTGCAGACGAGATCAAAGGGGCTGCCTCTCTGCAGATCAAAATGACATACAGCCATAGCCCATGCCGTGCCCAAATAAACCGGTGTAGCATACTGACCAACCAAGCACCAACTCGACTCCACCAGTAGGCGGAACACCGCGCCCCGAAGAAGCTCCGTGTCCCTCACCAGGATCTGTTTATGGGCCCCAGCCACGTCAAAGGAAAATGCGACCCACGATCAAAGGCAATGACAAAAATTGCTCACTGAGCAATCCCCAACCAACCCCGAGGCTTCTTGCCTGGGGCGCGAACCACGCCAATCTTGCCAGCTGCCAAGGCCCCCACTTACTTGGACCTGGCCGCAGCCTCGCCACCTTCGACAATAAAAGCATGACCCGCCTCCACATCTTGCGTCAACAGAGCTTTGGTGAGAGATTTATCGTCTAAAGCACTTTGCCAAGGCCCAGCATGAATCAACAAATCACACGGAACTTCATCTGAGATGCCTGCAGATGAGGCTTCCCAAATACCGGATGGAATAATGGGCTCCAAGACCGCTGTAGGTACCCCGTCAGCTGAGAGAGTGCGTGGCAAACGTCTATAGCAAGAATGGTTGATGCTCGCGAACGCCCTGGAGCGCTGCTTCACTTTTGCAGCGCACATGCTCCAGAAGCCAAGGAACTAACTTCCACGACGAAGCAAGCTTCAAGCACGCACGACGAAGGCCCCCCAAAACATCTGAAGATTCACGAGGAGCCAACCAATCTGCAGTCGAAAGCAAGCCGCCCCCATCCTGAATCAACACTGGCGCTGCAGCGCGAGGCTCCCAAGAAGATTTCTGCTCATCAACACGCACAGCCATTTCGTCTTTGCCCTCGACAAAGCTCCTTTCCCCAGTATCCGCGCTGCAGACCACAGATAGTCACTCGGGCTTCTTCACCTCTTTGTTGGGGCACTGAGCCGCAGCATGCTTCGAAGAGCCACAGGATGCGCACTCATGAAGGAATCAGCATGGCTTCAACTTGCACTCGCCCTCACGCCAACGAAAGCGCTGGGGCCGCCAGGTTCGCCAGCTCGGCGCCTCTTCAGTGGCTCCCTTTCACGTGGCTTGATCTGCAACTTTGGCCTTGGAAAGAGCAGACGCCTCAGCATATCTCTGTCCACCGCAACAGTCGACAACGCGTCGTCAAACGAAGCATCTGCAAAACATAGTGAGAACACTTCACACATAGCCGCCTGATCTGCATTCTCTGCTTCATGCACCGTGGGGAACCGAAACCCTTCACTTCCATGGTGCAAAACTGCATGAACTTGCTGATGTACAACGACCAAGAGCCCACATGACATGCCTGAACCATGCATAGCGTAGGCGTGCGCCCAGGTCTGAAGAAGGCCCTGCACCTGCCAAGGGGCGGAGGACAATTCCCTGTCCCATTGCTGTTCATAGAGCCCCGAGCCCAGCGCAACAGCTTCCATGAATGTGTCCTGTACAACTTGCTTGCGCCTCCCTTTCACAACTGAAGCAGCCTTCTCTGAAGATACACCGCATTCAAAGACATACATGGCAAAGACTCCAACGTAAGAATGGCGCCACTATATTTGTTCTCCACATCACGGCGCATCTTGTCTCTGTCCAGCGCTGACAGCAACTTTCCCAAACCAACCAAGGCACCGGCAAGCCCACAACCTGACACCGGAGATGGGAGAGCTAATGCCAAGCCCTCAGCCTTTGGCACGGCGAACGAACCCCCCAATACCGAACTCTTCGCACTCAACCATAATACCTTCAGCTTGCCAAATTCTTTCTCAACCACCAAAAACTTCTTCACGAAGGCTTCAAAGACCCTTTCGTCTTTAAAGTGGAAGGAGTCGGCTGTCTCATATCCCATGGCAACCAGTTTGGATTGCACCTGCTCAGCGACCTTGGCCTCAGAGAGCGCTGATATCCAGGCAGGCGCAGCCATACTGAACAGAAAAACAGAAAAGAAACACCAGCAAGTGAACTGCTTTAAGCCGTGAATCACCACGCACTCAATGCATACAAGCAAGCTCTCGCAGATAAGAAAATAAACCACAATGACCGTCAACACCACCCGTAAGACTGAAAACCCCAGTCCAATGCCAAGCCCAGTCAAGGGGGCAGCAACCCCAACGCAGAACCCAAAACCTGTTGTAAACATCATGCCCAGTCGACGGGGGCAGCAACCCCAGTGCAAAACCAAATCTCCTGTTGAAATCAAGCCCAGTCAACGGGGGCAGCAACCCCAGGGCAACACCAAAGCACCTGTTGAAAACAAGCCCAGTCAATGGGGGCAGCAAACCCAGGGCAAAGCCAAAACACCTGTTGAAATCAAGCCCAGTCAGCGGGGGCAGCAACTCCAGGGCAAAACCAAAACAGGAATCGTCATCCGTATCAGTGTCTGGTTCGAGGCCATGGACGGATGCCAGCTTTAAGGGGCGATGTTCTTGAACTGTGTGAACTCCCCGTACCAAAGCAGTTAAAGGGACCCAGCCACCAGCAACCGCGCGCAAGATCGAACTCTGGCAGTGCAGAGCTGGAAGAACGTCGCCCCGCCGGTACTTCACCACTGTACCTGGCACTGCCTGGCACAGAACGGACTCGATGATGACCCTGCGCAGCCTTCTGTTCGACTTCAACTTGTAATTGCAAGCTCCAAGAAAGGCAAGTCACCTTAAGACTGTGCAATGGGTAGGTCATGATAACGCCCTGATCAAGAGAAGTGTAAACGTGAAGGCAAGGGCGGAGCTGAGCCAAGGCACACGAGTAAGGTAAAGGGCCACGACTGCCGGCCATCAAATAGTCCCGGCTGGGACACAGTCTTAACAAAAGTATTAGCCCACTCAAGGCCGGTGGCGCCGCAGCACCAACAGCCCCACGCGAAACCTGTAGCACGTGTCTTGAGCGCCAGCACCAGCCGCGCAAAGTAGACTGTAGACAAGTCAATCCGTTGCGCATCCGAGAAGCGGAGGCTGCACCATATCATCAAAAGGGAGCAACTGATCAGCCATCTGTCTTCATCAGGGCCAGTGGCTACTGCTTGCTCCAATTCGCATACCACAAAAAGAGGCAAGGGTAAGGCCTCGCGCACTGGACGTTGGTCCCACTTCCCTGCTTGCAACCAACTGCTCACGATGGGACCTTGAAGACATGCCCGAAAATTATCTAGGCCCAGCTTGCGCGCTACAAAACACAAGGCATGGACGACATTCTCATATGACCTCGATCACCACCAGACCCTTCCGCCAACGCTTCCAGGAAATCCAGCGTGTGGCGAACTTCAGGATCACCGGCATTCACATTCGACCCTCTGCAGAACCGCAACCATCGAAGCCAACCACTTTCATGCTTGGGCAACGTGGAACGCGCAGGATCCTGGAAGAGAAAGGCCACTTTGCCAAGGTCCTGCGCTTGCAATGACGGCAGAACGGAGCTATGCTCAGCAACCGACTGACACGCTTGTAACAGCGCTAAGGACAGCTTCTCACGCTCTCGGTGTTCCAGTTCCTTCGCAAGGGTGTCCGCCGAGTTGAACAAGGGGACGCTGTGGGTCGGAAGCTTGTCAACGCAAACTGCCTGTCAGAAACCCAAGCCTGCGCGGAGGAATTCAGACGATAAGGGTGAGCAACAATCAGCGGGTACCGAGGGCGCGGCAGGCCAGCCTCCAGATGATCCACACTGAATCTACCCGGCCGCGTGGAAGGCAGCGGGCGGGACAGCATTAAACAAAAAAAAGAAGCAAACCAAGACTTCAATCAATGCAGCTGCCACTTCACAACCACAAGCAAGGCTCAGCTGCATGAGAACTAGAACCAGAAGGGTGAGTGTTAGGGCTAGCTAGCATCCAAAAGTATGCGCGCAACCGGTTGGCTGACTACTACAGCACTGCATGATCATCAGTCATCACAAGTTTACGATAAAGCTTAATTACAAAGGAAACCGTGTCGCAGACTGGGCGATGCTCGAAGTGGTGCGTATTCCTCCTGGAATAAGCAAACCATAACCGCAGCCGAATGTGAGACAAACCATGACAAACCCATAACCAATCGGAAGACGACTGCCACATTCGATCTACTGGGCGATCGTTTGATGGGTCCTTGTGGCTTTGAATGAGGTTGCCTTTGTCCAAATATCCAGTGAAAAAGCTTAGTAGCACGTCCAGGGCCCAATAAAGCACCTGCGGACATGCGGACGACCGGACGTGTCGCTGTTCAGGGTCTTTCTGTTTGGGCCATGGGTGAATGGGTGCCCCGGAACTCGTAGCGTCTTTGCTCCGTTCGGTTCGCGATGCCCCCGTAGCCCCGGAACTCGTAGCGTCCGATCGCTCCGTTCGTAGGAAGGCGATCGGAGCCCCGTTCGTAGCGAAGCTTGTTGCTGTGCATGAGATCGGCTAAAGATGTGTTCCTTCTGTCTCAGAAAACTTTGTCAGGGGGGTGATTGCGTCTTTTGTTGATGACTTTTTGAATCTTCCGCCACACACCTGTCATGCGGGTTGGATGGGCGGGGACAATGCATGTCAATAGCCTCCGCTACAAGGTGCAATCACCAACTTGGAGTGAAAAACAGTGTCTATTCTATTACGATTCAGAATCTATCCAATCTCTTATATTCTCCAAATGTCTCCAGGTGAAAAAATACAACGCGCCGCTCCAGGCTCCAGGCTACTCAGACGAGTTCAGGAGAGAGGTTGCCCCTCCAGACTCTCAGGTGGGCGCCTGAAACTTGGAGACCACCGACAGGGCCGGGAAAATGACGTAGAAGCCGCTGGTGACGAACTGGACCGGCAAGGTGACAGCATCGAAGACCAGCAGGATGATCCCTAGGAAGTCCCACAAGTTCCTCAGACTGCAGCCGTGGCTGAAGAAAAGAGGCAACGCCACAAGGTGCTTGGCCGCCACAAGGTGCTCAAGCGAAGTACAGGGTCATCTGTTTTGGTTAACGCCAACACATTTCAAGGCCTTTTGGTCAATTCCCGTGTTGCTCTCAAAAGGGGGGGTACGTGCCAGGGTTCCGTTCTGCGGCTCAAGGCTGGGCCAATGGCCACAAGAACCCTGTCATGACTACTTTCATAGCACTATACATATACAACTAAGTCTGATTAGATATACACTATCTACACTTTCATTGGATACTGGCAAGCAGCCACGTTCCAATTCGTGACACGTTTTGAATATGTTGGTCCAAAGGCCTCCAAAGCGTTTCTCATCGTCACACCCTGCCACCGCATCCACCGTCCAAGCGTCCGGAAGTGGCCCGTGGGGCTCAACGTACATGACCGCCAGCGCTCCGCCAAGAGGTCCTTCGCCTCAAAAGCGTGGAAGACCGCGCGACTTTTGGGGGGGCGGACAGGAAATCCATGCTTGTGTTGAAAATGTAACAACCTCAAGAAATGCTGACCACACCGGTTTCGTAAGGGGACATCTGTGCATGACAGAGACTGGGCTGTGATAAGGTACAGGTTCATCAACAGCGATTGGGACCCCTGCAGGGCCTAGCCCACTTGCTCCGTGATCAATGTGCTTACCGAAACCACCACATTCAAAAGTAAATCTACCTATCGTGAAATGAGCAAAACGTCTTGTATAGTTCCCACAGGTTCAACTATGGTCATCTAGTCATCTAGCATCCAAAAGCAAAGCGTCAACTGATTGCTGTCCTAGTGGCCATAACATCTGCACTCCCCGTCCTGGAATTTTTGTTACTCGGCCCGCCCAGGCCCAGTGTGGAGCCAGGGCCCAGTGTGGAGCGGTTGGTGGTAGCGCTCTTTGGTCGGTGGAGCCAACACTCCAGCGGCATCATCGCCCCCAGCCCGCTCGCCGGCGAACCAGGAGAGGACTTCCCGAGGCCTTCGCCTGGGTGCCCACTGCGGACGGCTCGTCGAAAGCAACGATCTGACCTATCTGGTCGTGACAAGTGCTGAGTGAACCTTGAAACAACACACACTAGGGAACTTGGGTTGCCTATGGTAGTAGAAGAACGATGCTTTCCAGATCCCAGGTGAGAAACACCCAGGGACACAAAGGTATGGCTGGGAGAAGCTCGTCTCACTACAAGGGAAGAATTCCTTGGAGCCCCGTGAATCATGGAGGTCAACGGTCAATGTCAATTGTTTACTTGTTTCAACAAGAATAGGGAAAGCCAGGAAAGGCAGTGTTTGTCCTTTCTGTGGAGACACTGTGCTCTTATAAAAGCACAATGAATGTGTTTTTTTTAAGTAAAAGCACACCAAAAGAAGACACACACGGAAGAAACGACCCGTCCACCTCCGGGTCCTTGGATGTGTGGCCACTGGTGAAGCAACGCATTACAAGTCTACCGAGGGTGAACTGGAACGCGCTTACCACTGGTGAAAATGAAATAGCACGTTCTTCTTGCTCGGGAACTGGGTCATAGGATGTCATAGGCCTATTCCTGATCACACCGCAAAGGAGATGAATGGGCTACGCAGAAGGAACCGAACCTGAACCTCTGTGGCGAGCAAAGGTGTTATTGATCCAGATTTCCACCCTGCAGACAGACTTCACGCCAATTCCATCGACCGTGTCTTGATTGTTACTACTATTGTTGCTTTAGACTTGATTGATCTTGCCAAATCTGAAACTTCCATCCCGGAGCCCAAAGATTCATCCGTTTTGTCATTTTCCGGTTCCTGGTCCTCAAAAACACCATCATCCAGGGCGGCCATCCGCCATCCGAGGCACTGTGACCAGTCTCAGGCCCTTCGGAACCGCGAGCACCCAACTGCTCGGAGCCCTGTCGCGTCGCGAGGCGACGCGACAGGGCGGATGCCCCAGTGGAGAAAACGGAGACCAAGCATGTTTTGTGGTGAAAAATTGCAGCAACTCAACGGGTCCATCTTCCAGAAACAGATTATTTATGTATATATATATATACAGTATATCTAATGACCCCAAGTAAGAATGGAAGAATTATGAATAATGGAAGGAGCCGGATTTGACTGTGCTCCTCAAACAGCTTCTTTGATGCGGGCCATGGCCTCATAATTACGCAGAATCCAGCAATATCCTATTCAGTGCCTAGTGAACGGTTCTATAATAAGAATCAAGGCTGTTGCAAGATACTTGTTTTTACACACGTTTACCCAGACGTTGTGGCATGGTTCTTCAAAACAAGGCGCCTCCACCTCTATTCTGCTTTGAAAATTGAGTGAGGAAGCAAACTGTTGGCTCAGGTCAACTCTGCGGCCAAAGCAAAAGCCCCACTTGATAAGATAATTACAGTAGGGCTTTCACGCCTCCATCCAAGCAGCCACCCCCATCGAGGCCTGTGGCAGCTGACCAAACCAGTCGGAGACTTGCCGCCCACCACCAAATTCGGAGACTTGCCGCACACCACCAAATTCGGAGACTTGCCGCGCACCGCCCCAGTCAGAGAGTTGCCGCACACCGCCCCAGTCAGAGACCTCGGGCACGGGTATCGGTCGGCGAAAAAAAGCTCGGGGGCCAGAATCTTGGGTCTCAGCGCGATGCTTTTGCTGGGTCAAGGGATCATTTTGCGATCCTCATCACGAAAATGGAGCTGAAACTTGAAAATGCTTGGGCCTGCTAGGGTAGAAAGCAGCAATGTTGACGACCTGCTAGGTGAGAAGGTCTGTGAGAAGCGGCAAAATGATGAGCATCAGCTGCAGCCAGAAAGTTACTGGTGTGGTAATGATGCTAAGTTGGCTGGGCCGGCTTCGGTGCCAGGAGAAAGGTGCATCAAGAAGAGACAAAACTCTACTTGGAGTCCTCAACAAAAGGATTTCCAAGCTTTGACCAAGTCTAGGTCTAGGCACGGTCTGGCCTGTCTCTGTGAGGGTCTATCCACAAGTCGTTTGCAGCAAAAGATGCCATTGCACTAAGATAGCGTTGTGGCAAAGCATATTGCACTCTCATGAATCATGGCTTGGGGTGGGCCTGGACTCAAGAACGCTATGGCACTTGTCCCCAGTTAGACTGGCCTTCTCCCAAGTGAGAAAAAAGATAACTCAAACCCTTTTGTTTCAGCCCGCTCCCCTCCCTGCTAGGTTGGAGGCCATCGCTATTGGGTTGGAGGCCATTGCTCTTAGATGCTCTTAGGTTTCTTTCTTTTCTTTTTGTTTTCCTTCTCCCAAGAAGTGAGCGTCGAACTCAACCACGACAGTTTGCTTCGGCTCGCGCCTGCCGAGACCCCCAATCGGAGATCTGCCGGTTGGCATGGTCAAACGCACTTGGTGTCGCACCTGGAGTCACGATGTCAAGCAGACCCGTTGTGTCACGCAGCACAAATCAGTGCCAAAAGAATATGATGGAAACCATTCTCACGGACCCCCTTCAAAAAAATCCCTGCCCACCGGCGTGTTCCATGTGTTTTCGTTCTCCTTGACCGGCACCCGCCTGGGCGATCCTTGGACCTCGTGGGCATCACGCCACCACTGAATGCACCCTCCTCGCCGTCGCTGTCGGAACCTGGACGAAACGTTGGATCCCATGAGATCGGACGGGTCGTACGTTGGTCATATTGGAGGCCATCGCTAGTAGGGTGGAGGCCATCGCTAGTAGGGTGGAGG